CTTGGTTATTTAAATAAAGTACTTTCTTTGATAATGATCCATTGATTTGTGGAGGTAAAATAAGAAGTTTTTGGTATCTTTAATTTTAATTTAATTTTTGATCTCGAAAATGTCGGGTTTTCAATGAATTTGTTGAACATTAAAGCGGTTAAAACTGCCGCTACAACAACAACACCAACAACTCTTTTGCCTTTGATTGGTTATGCTCAACGAAAAACCAATTTTAAGTAAAAAATTACGCACTGATCACGCGTTTTCTCAAGAAGATTTTTCAGCAATGATAAGCACCACATTGTCTTTTTACCTAGGATTCTTCTTCTGAAGAAGTAAAGAAGTATATTTTATACCCATAAATGTAAAATAAGTACCGCTCAACGACAATCACAAGAAAATTCACGCTTGTTATAAAATACGCGCAATTCAGTTACAGTTGTGAGCAGCCTTTTTTCTCGCATTTGGTAACTACCAATACTGTTTAATACCTTTCTTTTTATTCCAAATAAACATTTGAAAACCCCGTGCTTTAGGTCCAACCGCTCAAGAAGTTGTACCTTAATAAAAATTAGATTTTGTGCGAGTTGCACTAGAAATTTCTAGATTTTCTCGATTTCAGCAACTAAACTAGCCATTTAAACCGTTAGTTTTGTTTTGAATAACTATTTACTCATATTTACACATATACATAAGTAGTATTATCGAAGGTATAGAATCCAGTACGCAAACTGTCCCCATCTCAAAAGATTTCCCCAAGTATCATAAATGTCATGATTATGATTCCGTTGAAAATATTTTTATGCAGTTTTTTATGCTTTAACTCTTTAGTTCAGTGGTGCACTGCGTCGACAGAGCTACCAATACCAGAGCAACATTTTTGTCTTAGTATGCGTACACTAGCAACCCTGCAGTACGGGGGAGCGAGTATAGGACTGATGAATCGGTAGCTACCTGGTCAACTGCGTCAATTACCGACCGACTACTTGCAGTGTATTTCATCGATTACTTTTACAAGGCAAAGTCCAGGCGGTAGTCACCATCGGCTCTCTCTGCACTACCAGGAGTTAATAAAGTAGTCACTTGCGTGATTTATAGGCGCCCTCTGTCGTAGTTTTTCGCTCTTCTGCTTCCGACTGGTTCGACTCTGCACTACCATGTCACTACCGCGGGTTAATAGAGTAGCTACTTACCTAAGCGTCGGTGCAGTAGCGGTTCAAAAGTAGCATCAATCACGTAAATTTTAATATTTTTCCGATATATTTTGGTTTTCAGTTATAATAAACGTCTTCAGTTTTAATTACGGTGACCATTCGTACCGATTTTGGCGGGACAGTACCGATTTTGAGAAAATTGTCCCGCTGAATATTTATTAAAATTCGGAACGTAAGTGCCCCGATTTTTCATATTTGTACCGATTAAGTCCCGATTTTTCAGTGTTTTCTTTATTAATTTAATAAGAGTATCCTTGTACTGTGGCCCAAAAAGAATTTTTCTCACAAACATGGCAGCGCTTTCTTTATCACAAACGACATAGAATAAAAGTGAGTCATAACCAGCATCCTTCTATTCTGTAATCTTTGGTTATGTTTTGTTCTGTCAAACTGTCGTTATATTACAGTCCATCATTCTTGTCACAGTTTTTTTAAGGTTTTTGTAATGACTTCTTAAGTTTTTTTTTAATGAAACAATTCTAACTTGATTTTAGTGAAATTATAAAAAATAGTACTAATTCCCCTAAAAAATCATGGATATGGAAAATATAAGCTGTAGATACAGTAGCGAAAATATAAATAGGGAAAAGTCATTTAAGCATTCTTTGGCTATTCCCCTTTCGATTATTTAATATTTGTTCTCTTTTTTATGAAAGTGAAAGACTATGAGGTCAAAATTTCATAGTTTGAAATTTTGATTTACATGTGTTTTAGATGGTAAGTTATATTTTCATAAAAAATAATAAACATTTTTAAACAAAGCAAAGAGACAAAACTTGCTGAAGGGTCTTTTCCCTATTTACATTCTCGCCACCGTATATATATATGTGTGTATAAATTTTTTTGATAATTTTTCAAGTTTTTTCTCTTTGTTTTGTTTTAAATAAAACTGTATTAAAAGATGTTATGTCTTTCTATTCTAAAAACAAAATTGTATGTTTGGATTCGATGCTTTAGAAACGTCCCGATTTTTGCCCATACAAATGTAGTCACCGTAGTTATAATAAATTTTGTAATTCCGGCGGAAAACCAGCACTTTTTTGGCGATGCAGTCTAATGTACATACAGTGAAACCCGCTTAAGTTGCGTTTGCCACACCCATGGCGCAATAAACAGGTGAAGTAATAAAACAGCCTTCTCGCTTTATTTTCTGACATTCGGCTGCCTTATAGTAAAATTTTAAAGGCAATTTTTCAAATAAGGCAGTGTCAAAATCTTTCTTCTCGTTCTAATTACTTCACCTGGTATAATTCCGTCATGGCCACACCCAACAAATTCTATTTATTGATCAATAATATTGTTGTAAATCCATAATGAAAATTATATTGAATTATAAAAAATTAATTTATTTGTTCCCGAAAAGAATATTTTCATTTCTACAGCTCACAAAGATGAATGAATAAAAAAAAGATAATTTTTGAAAAATCATTGAACAGTAAAATGTAAAAGTAAAAGTGAATTATGTTTTACGAAGTAAAGTGCTTTTATATCAAAGTGTTTCACCACAATATTGAAGATATAACGAAGATTTCACTTAAATGTACTGCTTTTATATGGTAAGTCTCAAAAGATTTAACGTTAAATCCCGTCAGAGGGCTAAATCTGCATTAAATCTCATAATGGGCTCGATATGTACGATGACCATCCGTCCAGTATTATACGTCAATTGTCCTGGTAATTTATTTACTTCATACGGGACGCCAAATGTTCTGTATTTCTTTTAATGTCCCTTATTTGTCCCGGTATTTTGGCGCCCTAATAACTCATAAAAAGTACATGCCTATGAAACAGTTTTTATTTTTAAATCTGGACGCTTGTGATTCGAATCGAGGACCACATATGCAGATGGTTACTGAAGTTATAATTTTGCGTATAAAAACTGGGTATTTGTGAGTTTGAATCGAGATTAAAAGTCAATGATAGTTGTTCAAATTTTTAAAGAAATTTCACTAGTATTTAGCCTTTCAAAGGTTTTTTATTTCAACGCATTTGACGTTGAATATTCTGTGTTGCGCGAAGAATATTTAACAGGTAGCAGCAGTAGAGCAGCTGATTTTACTTTTGTCCAGATTTTCCCCGTTAAGTTGTCATTTTTGTTAAAATTTTTCTCTAAAATTTTAAATTTCGTCTACGTATTTGGATTTCAAAACCAGTAAGGAAATGCGCCCAGCTTGCTGTTTTTTTCGGGTTCAATTACTTGTCCAATGTGCCGTGGTATGGAGGCAATTTTCAAATTTTGTGAAGGGAAACTACGCCAAAAAACATTTTGCTAAATGTATGAGGTATTGTATCTTCAGCATGAGAAACTCCAAATAAGGCTACAATGAGAATGTTTTAAAAGTAAATAAGTTCCCAAAGGAAGGAAAGTGGTTCGAAGGTTCGCTTTGTAATTCGTCTCGTTCCGGATGCTACTCACTGCATTGTGCTTGGCCGATATCGGAGTCTGAAAATAATCCGTTCGATTGTTTTCCTGCGTATTCATGTTTGTAACAAATTTTGCGGATAAAAATCCCGAGCACAAAGTACAAAGTTATGGAAAAATTTTCGACAAATGTGCGATGTTACAACTGTATATATAGGTTAAAGTGGTCCAAAAATGTATGTAAAAAAATAAGGTCGCATTTTTAATGCCGCCACCCCCTAGGATTGTTCTATACCGACAAAAAATATACCCCAATTTTTTTTATTTTGAAATAAAAAAAAATTTAGGGAGTGCTCAAAGCGCTCAAAGTTTTCAATGTACTTTATATGGAGAAAAAAACAACTTTTCTTAGAAATAGTGTAGAATTCCTGAAAATCAATATTTTTCGATCGAAAAACTTTGCTTATTTTCAGGAGATTCCCAGTAATAATACCTAATTGTTCCTTTAACAATTTTTTCATGGTAACCATATTTTATAGGTCATAGAAAATGCAATGGTGGGACCGATAGAAAATCTTTAATCATAAAAAAATGGTTAAATAAACAATTGGATATCAATATTTGAAGTCTCCTGAAGAGAACTACAGTTTTATGATTGAAAAATATTGACTTTCAAGAGTTTTATACCATTTTTACGAAATTTTGTTTTTTCCCCATATAAAATACATGGAAAACTTTGAGCGCTGTGAGCACTCCCTAAATATTTTTTGATTTCAAAATAAACAAGTAAGAAAGTCTAAGTTCGGGCGGAGCCGAACATTAAATACCCGGCGCAAGTATTAAATATATGTTTTTCACCTTTCTGCAAGCTACCGCTACATGGTAAGCCGGGGTGTATCAATTTTGAGTAAGTTAGCGTCCTTGAATTTCGAAATATTGAAATTTCAAGCATTTCTGAAATTTATTGTTATATGAAAAGCGGCCGTAATTTTAGGCCGATTTCAATAATTTTCAACGCTTTGCTTTTATGTGGCAAGCACAATAACCATACCGAGTTTGGTACAAATTGGTGGAACGGTTACCGAGATACATATATGTGATCATAAGTGGGCGGTGCCACGCCCATTTTCCAAAATTTTATCATAAACGTATTTCTTGATAAAGAATGGTTGCAAGCGTCAATTTTGAATAAATTAGCTTTAATATTTACTGATTTATCGAAGATTTCGTATTTCTCTAAATTACCCTTATATGGAATGAGGGCGTGGTTATTGTCCGATTTTAAAAATTTTCGGCCATTTGGTATGCTGTATCAAAGCCAACAACTGTGCCAAGTTTGGAAGAAATCAGTGCAACGGTTGCCAAGATATACACATGTAACCATAAGTGGGCGTGGCTACGCCCATTTTTCAAAAATTTATAA